GCGCTCGTCTTCGCTAGCCTAGAAACGCGCTTTAATGGTATTTTGCTGTAGTCGCGGACGCAGCAGATGCGGGGTGGATTTGGGTGGCTGCTGTGGACGTGAGCGGGTGTTGGAAAGCAAGGCCCTGTCAGCTGGTGTGGCAAGGCCAGTGCCAGCTCGGCGGGGGTGGCAGACGAAGGCTGCCTTTCCCCTGGTTTGTGGGGCCCTGGCTCTAGAGAGGAGTAGCTGGTCTGATGCCAGGGCAGCTTCTCTCCCTTCCTCGTTGCAGCGGTGCTCTTCCCACAGGATTGGGCTTTGGTAACATGGGTACCTATGGAGCAGGTGGGGAGGCCCCTGTCTGTGTGTGCCCCTCCATGAGAGTCACAAATCCGTTTCCTTAGCCCTAGTTTCAAACCCAAGGGGCTCTTGCTGCCTGCTGGTTAGTGCAGACTTGCTCAACACAAGGCTCCTGGCAGCTGGCTTCACACGCCGCTAGGGCAGGCGGGCGGCCCGTCCTTGGGATGAGGGTTGAACCTTGGCACAGGGCTCTGGAGGAGTTGGGAGAGCTCCGTCTTGGGAGATATTTGAGCCTGGCCTGGGTGCAGTCCTTGAACCTCTGATCTAGGTGTTCCTGCTTTGAGCAGAGGATGGACAAGAGACCTCTGGGTATCCCCTGCAGGTGATGCAAGAGACTTTTATGATGATGTCTGTCTTACATATGTGGGATCAACTGTGTGTCTCTGACTTCTGTGGCTGTCTAGTGTTAGAGAAGTCCATGTTGGAGGCTAGGACTGGGGAAGGCTCTGGGGCAGATGATGGGGCTCCCAGGAGGCCCTCTTTTGACAACAGGATGGGGAAGCTCATGACCCAAACGATGGTGCTGTAGGCCTCGGATGGAGTGGCATCTCCTGGCTTTGGGATCATAGCTCAGAGATCTGCCTGCCTGGGCTGGCTATGAATTTGCAGGATGCTGAGACCCATACGACCTCCTTCTGCTTGTGTGCTCTCCATGGCTCTGTGCAAGGGTGATCCTCTCCCCTTACAAAGGGAGCAGGAGATGTACCAGGCATTTCTGGCAGTGGTTTTGAGCATGAGGACACACTATTCCTGCCCCCTGCCATGCATGGGGCCTCAGCAGGGAGCTGTATACTGCAAGCATTGCTGCAGTCCTTCCTTTGAGGAGCTCAGCATTTGTCCTTTAATTTCTGGCTCTTCCTAGCTGCAACAGCTCTCACCATCGCCCTGAAGCTGCCTGTCTGCCCATCTGTCTTTGCACTTGCGAAACATCTTTCTCTCGCCTTCGTTTCCGAAGCCTCAAGGTGTGCGTGTGCGCGCGCAGCCACTTGGAGCTGCCGAGTTATCGGGCACTGCGCAGAGCTGTTTTTGCTTCCTCTGTTCCCCGAGCCAGAGCAGCTCTGGACGCAGTGGCCTGTCAGGTGTGACTTGGCAGCACCTGCATGTCCCTTCTCCGTGACACTGTTGCGGGATGCCTGGTCACAGTGAGGTGGCAGCGTGACCCTTGCCCTGTGGCGTGACGGTGCTGACTCTGCCACAGGAACTTCCCAGCCTCCGTCTTGGGTTCTCTTCTGATGTCACCAGGTAAAAATGGGAGAAAACTTGTGCTAGTGACACACCTCTGTTTGCTTTTTACTGCCTTTTTTTTTTTTTTTTCCTTTTTTTTTTTTTTTTTTTTTTTTTACTGCTTTCTGAATGCCTAAGGTGTTAGCTCTGGGTTTTGTTTCAGCTTCTCTTAGGAGTGGATGCTCAGTGGCTGCCAATCTCAGTCTCGGCTTAGTTGGAGTTGGGCCAGTCTTCCCTGAGCTCTTGGGCCCCTTAGTTTAACCGTGGTGAGCTTGTGAGCTTGGTGAGATGCAAAGGGAAAAAGAATCATCCTCGCTTTCCAGGAGGAGGTGTTCTTTTTTTTTTTTTTTTCCTTCCCTATTTCCATCATATCCATACCATGTTTTTTCCTGCGGAAGAACATGCTGCTGAAACTTGCGCTTGCTCCTACCTGGAAAAGACAAGTTGCCCAAGGCTGTGTGGGGAGATGGTGAAGGGAGCTGGGGTTGTCAAGGTGCGGTTAATGACCACCCCAGGTGGTAGATGACTCCTGCTTTTTATTTATTTATTTTTCTGGTGATAATTTTGTTGCTCTCTGTGGTCTTCCAGCATCACAATCTAAACTTCCAGCTTCCAGCATCACTTCCAGGCGTCACAATCTAAGCTTTAAGATTCGCTTGGATCCGCTCGGTCTGGTGTCCTCATTTCTGCTCTGGCTCTGGGATGCCAGCCGTGAAGCTTCCAACTCAT